TCGTATCTGTTCTCTCATCTGGGTTCGTTTCGGGCGTCACACCACAGAGAGTTACTCCCTCGAGAGTAGGGGCTATCAAGTACAGAGTAAAAGTAGCGTGTATTAAGGCTGCGCAGTCTCCGCAGAAGTCCCCAGAGAGGAGAGCGAGAGAGAGAGTGCGAGCGAGCGACCCCGTAAGCGAGGCGCAGGCGGGGACGCGGGCGGCGGGGGCGGGGGCGCATAGTGTATGCCTCTGGCTCTGCGGGCATGCCTGCACGCGCTCGGCGCTCGCGCACACCGATACTATCATACACACCTCCGTCCACGTCGTGAACCGTACGTGTAGCATGCACATGATACACAAATGCATGAATGTGAGTACTTACTCTCACGGCGGGACGAGACGAGAGGAGACTGCAGACTCCCAGACTCTGTCAGGGCCAGAGAGCGGAGCCGCGACTCCCGATATCAAAAGAGCCAGGACCACGTCGACTGTCTCCTCTACGCCAGTCCACCCGACCTCCCTCCCCGCCCTGCGTCCCGGGTCCCCGGAACCGCAACCTCGGGCGTCAGGGTGCGCGGTCGTACTAGCTAGTGAGGCGGCGCAGTAGTCGGTCCTATGCGTGGCTCACGCCGTCCGCCGCGACGACCTGCACCTCGCCGCTCACGAGGCTGACACAGGGCAGCCAGGCGGCAGTAGTCAGGGCAGGCGGCGAGGCTGCGGTCGCCCGCAACGGCCCCTTCCGCTCACACTAGGTCCTTGAGGCTCTCCAGCCCGCGGTCGGCCGGGCCCTGCGCATCGCCCTGCGCCTCTCCTCCCGCGCCGTCCGCGACGGCGGTGCCGGCCGCCGGAGACTCCACCTCCGCTGCCTCCGGACCCTCCGCGACCACCGCCTTCATCGCCGCCGCCTGCTTCGCCTACCGGGCCAGACGGAGCAGCTGAGCGAAGCGCACCTCGTCAGTGGCCGCAGCCCCTTCGTGCACCTCGTCTGCGTCCGCGTCCTGCGCTTGCGACGGCTCCTCCGCGTCCGACGGCTCGCCGCCCTCGTCGTCGGCCGAGAGAAGCTCCGAGTCCTACTCGCGGTACTGGCCGCCGTGAGCAGGCGCTCTTCACGGCGGCGTGTGCGGAGGGCGGCGCTGAGCGAGTCCTCGCAAGACACCGGGTCTGGCCTTGCCTCTTCCTCGAAGGGGCTCTCCTTGCACGAGCCGAGCCGCCCCGGCGAGACCATCGGCG